TGAATAGGTCTATCACCTTGCAAACCAATTTTGATGTGGGCTTTAGTCTGTTTTTTTATTTATTTAAATGAGTATAGCCTAATTCTTATTTTATGCGCGTGTTGGTTGAAGTGCCAGCAATCTGATGATAAAATAATAGCCTAATATCAATAATAATTCAATACATTAATGGGAAAACAAGCCTAATAACATCTTGATTCTCGTCAAAGGCATCAGCTATCAGCAATATCTCTATGTCGATCCACGATATTATTGTCTATAGGCACAACCCTATTCTGCATCCATTTTAAAGCTTAAAAGCCCCATTTTTTGTATTGACATTTTATGGATGCATTCTAATAGCTCAAACAGTAAAACATGGTGCTAGCAATCGCAAGATCATGGGTTTCGGTTCCCAGGGAATCCATGAACTGATATACCTTGAATGCAAATGCAAGTGACTTTAGATAAAAGTATCTGCCAAATTCATGTGTAAAGTCTAAGACATGGTAAAACGTCTAAAAACCATCCAGTAAATTCTTTAAAATGTCTCATTTCGTGCTTTGCTGGTTTAAAAGGGCATGAGGGAGGGTAAATAATGACAAAATTAATATAATATGTTATTAAAAAAATAATAATAATGTAGGACAGGATCAGAATGCGAGCTTGCAGTTGATTGTAAGGGTAATATGCAGGATTTTTCGCCAGCAGGGGTCGCTACCTCTTACAATAACAAAGGCGGATATTGATGACGTAGGCTATATTCCTCATTAAGCTGAATTATGGATCTTGTCGTCAAGCTGATGGATCTTTTATGGATGAGTGAATACAGTGATGTTTTTAACATGACTGTGGTGTGAAGCAGGGCGCGATTGCTAGACGTATAAACGTTACCAGCGCCACACACAACGCGAGTCCCGCGGATATAAAGGAATAAGGACATTTCATTCAACCGAACTACACGCAAGTGCTGAATTAATACTCACACAGGTCAGTTTATTAGACGAATGAAACCTGAGGTAACGCAGCGCTGTTTCACTTGCTCTAACAGTTACACTATCACACTAAACGCCATTTGAGTGTGTTGAATGTTGTTAGTTAGGTTAGGTTGTGTGTTGGCTGTATGAGGCGTTAAGCTAGATCAACATTAGGATAACACACAGATCATATTCTAACATTTCATCATGTTGAACTAAATAACATTGATTAGTTTTATGTACATTTGCTCACCTGTCTAATAAAGTACAAGCAACACTCGCGTCTCTGTCAAGTCGAAGTTAGTGGCGGACGTGGAGCTCTCGGCATCTCGAAAGATGTTGATCTTCGTTCTAGTCCTCTTTTTGTCTCAAAGTCTGCTTGCCATGGTCCATAATGTATGAACAAAACAACAACAGCGTGAGCGTCCTGCTAGGCATAATGGGCATAACCCAGTTATCAACGTCTGTCGCCATGGTTACTATGGCAGTACGAGGTCAAACCTGGCGGAAACCGAGGGTAACGCGGATATGACGTTATATACTGGCGACTCCTCACCCCTGCTCACACGCCCCGTTTCCTTGGTTAAAATCGCAATTTTCTCTTCATTTACAATTACAATATTGTAAGTAATCAACTAAACAAAATATATAACATTGGCCTAGTGGTTTTTGGATATTTTACTGCAAAAATCCTACATATTGTACCTTTAAGGTCTGTTTACACCTGCTGCTTTTTGGTTGATCAGATCACAAGTGGGCTACACTAAATACTGGTGTAAACAGGGTCTTAAACATTTTAAGCTTGCATTTTGAATGCGTTCGAACAGCCACAATAGACCGCCTGCTCTCCGCCTACTGAGTGAACATTATGGGAAGCGCACTAGACAGATGGGATTTAAACGTTGTCGGCTGAAGACCGAAGTCTGGTTTGAAGATGAAAAACGTATCAAGCACAAGCTGATGCTCTCCGTGTGTTTTTCCGTCGTCTCTGGTCACTTTCATTTGTAAATTTTGCACATTAAATCGAAAGATCTGAAAAAACACATACATTTACTCGCTCATAGACCCTCCTCTCGAAGAAACCAGGACAGAAGAGGCTGAAAGTGGACAAAAGAGAGAGATTAAAACACGGGAATGTGTCTCTCTCGTCTACCTGCGATCTGATCGACCAAACCGCATCTTAATACCAGGAGTAAACAGGGCCTAAGTGGATATATAATTGGAGAAGTCGAACATGTCATCTGAGAGAAGTCTGTGTTGTTTCACCAGAAGATCCAGTAGTTATGAAAGTTACAATACAGAGTCAAAAAAAAGTTTGAAATAAGTGATGAATCATTCACAATTATATCAATAACATGCATTTAGAAATAGATGAGTGGATTTTAATTATCAAAACCTTAATAAAAAAGTAGAGAGGCTATGCTACAACATAGCCACCAGTTACTACATTTAAAAAAATCGGAAAAAGCCTCATTAAAAGCCTTTGTAAATTAGCCAATACACCCACAAATCAATAATAATGCAGCAAATTCATAGAACGTTCTCTATGTAAAGGTTATAACAAATCAAAGCTATCTTTTTAAATGTTCTGAACTAATTCCACCAATATCTGGTATCGTCACAACATAAACGTTACAGGATTCAACCGAGCTTATACTTAAATAAAGGTGCCACTGTCTGTGTGCTGATTGGCTAAGATTAAGCAAACACCTAACAGGTTTCTGTCAATCAAACATGAGGTCTTGAATCAAAAACCAGCAAATTAATCAACATCTACAAGCTCATTTCTAGCAAGACGGATTATATGCACTAAAGACGCGAGTCTGAAACAATGCAATCAAGAAGCCGCATGAATTATTGAGACATGTGCCGCTATGGTCTGTCTACAGGGCCGCACTGGTGTCGGGTTACCATGGCAAACCCATGGCAGACTGCATACCATTACTGCTGATTACTTAACGATTTTCCAAGTCTGACCAGTTAATGACAACCTAAGAGGTATGCTTTAATAGAAACACTTCAGAGGAGGCAAAACTGCTGCTGCTACTGATGATGATGTGTGTGTGTGTGTGTGTGTGTGTGTGTCTGTTTGGTTTCAAGAGGAAGAGAGAGACCTGCGTGACCAAAAGAGGTGTAAATGATCATGTCCTGTCAGGCCGAACAAAAGTCACAATCTGCTGTGCATGAATTTGCATTTGTCCCCCTGCACCTCCAAGACGGGTCCGATCCCACCTGTGAGTCTACAACAGCTGTAACGTCAAATAAACAGATTCTCTCCAGAGACTACACGGGAAAGGAAAACAATGGAGGAAAAACTCCAGACGGATGGACATTGTGTATTAAAGCCTGTAATGTGAAATAAATAATAGTCAGAAAAATCGAATTTCTTTAAATGGAACGACAGTCTATTGAACCTTTCGACAAAATGTAAAAGAAAATGTAAAACAAAGTTTGCATGTGTGTTTCTTCTTGAGGATCATATTTGATGCATTTTATGGCTCATATAGTGAGAATATTGAGGCCCAAACTGAGCAAAAATATGCAATTTGATGCAGATACTGATCTTTATATGGCCAAAAAAGTAAGAAGAAATTAGTTTGTAATGTAAATGAATGAGATCTTTATTACAGTACAACAGACTACTTACATAAAATGCATAAATATCAGTCGTTATTGTATATCTGCCAATAAAATCTTGGTAAGATGATTTGCTTTAGTTTTATGATGAAGGCTCTGTAGTTTTAAAACATATAATGCAATACAATGATGATTGAGAGATGAAGAAATAAACATTCTTCAAAAGCCTGATGATCATTTGAGACTCACATTTAAGCATGATTTTTCTAAAAAAAAAAAAAAAATGTATGGATACTCAACATAAACACAAGTTGCTTCAGTCTAGTAAGTGTCATCTTTAAATAAACAAACAATATAAAAGTTATTCTTACGTTTACTTTATAAAAATCAGTAAAGATTTCACAGCAAAGAGACACATGAACCATGACCTCAGGCTCAGGGAGGAAATATTTCAATAACTAAAATTACTTGCTAAAAAAGACTAAACTGTCAATCAGTCAACAGAAGGCATGTAGTAGATTCTGTGCAACAGGTTTTTCAGCAAAGTTTGATCATGTGAGTATGTATGCAGTAATGTAGACGCCTTAGAAATGATTCTACCAAATATGTCACAGTAGGCTTGATAGGGTTAACTCATTTCGAAAGTGGTCATTTCTACAAATCACCAGCTTTAATGTATTAAGGTGCACGGACGACAAATGCTTTGTTTGCATCAATGTATCTGCACAAAATGAAAAATAAAACAGGTTGCAGGGATCTAATTCCCTCAGCTGACCAGATCTGCAAACACACAGTCATATCACTGATCAAAACAGGGGCGGCCTACATCCATCCAGCCCACACACACACACACACACACACACACACACACACACACACACACTCCTTTATTGACCCTAAACTTCATTATTCATCCCCATGTATATGTGCAAAGACTGTAAATGGACCATATGCATCTCAGACACTGACAGCTTCAATAACAACAGATAATTCACTAGTTAAAAGACACTACAAATATAATATAAAGCCCAAAACATCCCAAATAATGCCCAAGTTAGAAACCAAACCCAGAATTGAAGCCTCCATAATCTTAACATATTATTAATAATACCAAAGCCATAATAAATTAAATGTTGATGTGGTGGTAAAATGTAATTCATGGTTCATTAAATGGTTCATGGCTTTTTTTTTTGGGACTGATTAAACACGGAATTGGACTCATAATTCAAATCAGAAACCCAATAATAATAATAAATGCTAACAAACAAAACCAAAGACCCCAATAAATACATTTTTACACAAGTGACTGCTTCTGTCTTTCCACAAAAGATATTAGTATTTAATTACTTTATTTTATATAAACGTAATCGAAATGACTAGAACATGTATTGACTTTATATGTTACAAACCCCACAAAAAGCTGAACACCGACTCACAGTGATAAAAACAGCACTGTTGTGACGTTACCTGAAACGGGTTGCTGAAGTCCGGGTCCGCGAAGGGGTTGCTGTCAAAATCTGACATTTTTCCGGTTGAATTGGTCCGAAATGTTAGACTAAATGAACGGTTTTCGGGAAGAAACGCACCAGCAGCTCGAGACTGATCCGCAACCGCAAAATGGCAGAACCGGAAATGACGTCATGCGTCAGCTGCACGTCTCACAATTCAGTATGATCAAATACATATAATTAAAATGTGTTCCTAATTATTATCATCATCATTATTATTTATTATTATTTTTAACTTTTTATGATACTTTCATTGCTTTATTGCATAAACTGCATCTTATATAATTTGTTCCCTTCTTATTATTATTATTATTATTATTATTATTTCTTTCGTCTCTATATTTCTTTAGATAGTCAAAAATGTCATTAGATAGTCAAAAATGCAGAACAGAAAACGTTAATTTCACAAAATCTTGACATGTCTGCCACCTAGAGTTCATAAATAATCATTACATCCAATATTATTTATCCATCCATTCTTAAAAAAATCCTGAGCATAAATTGTACTTCATATACGAGATTATAATGGGTTGAATATGAATATCAATAACAGCTCATAATTCAAATGAAGAGGTCATTGTTTGATTTGGGTTTTTTTGTTTGATTTAACTACCGGTACAAGATATTCATGGTCTTGCACTATAACATATTCTCCAGGACTTTGCTCTCAGTTAAATTCTGAATAAAGGATATTAATATTTTGGCACTTCTGCTAAACACAGCTGTATCCGTCAAACTCCAGGATCAGTCCGAGTGACAGGAGTCAACAATAGTTACCATCAAAAATATCTCGTTATTTTTAGACATAAATTGTATTCTGTGTTGGCCTTCAGGGTCTCAGCCCCCTCTGAGTGCTGCTGTCTTCTGTAAGGCACAGTTGCTGCCTGATGGTGATATATTTCAGTGTGTCAATTTAATCTCTTCCTATTGGCGTTAAAGAAGGGACCCTATACAAATAATGGTGTATATTTAGGCAAAATATGCCTTCAAATAAATGATTTCAGCTTCATTATGAGGACACAATCATGTCAGAAGGTTCAAAAGGGGATAAAAGTATTTTAAACTTTACCAAAAATTGCATCAAATTGATGAAAAATCTATAATAATAAAAATTATCCCCCCCCAAAAAATGCGTCATTACAGACATTGCACCATTTGTGTCAAACCATGCATGTGCTAAAAAAAAATCCTCCTGACACTCAATACATTTTTTTTTTTTTGTCAGTGGATACATATTTTATTAATGTATTTGTGAATATCTCTATCCAGTATCTTTGGAAACCCTTGGTGTGTTTGTGATACCAAACAAGCTATATAATAATATAATAATCATAATTTGACATGTTATAATGATAAAATATATAATTAAAATGTTTTTCAAAAATAATAAAAAACAAAATTGTAATATGTTTATTATGCACCAAACATGATATAAATGCCAAAACTGTTTTATTTTCTAGGTCTCATGATGACATTTTGTTTATTTTATATACTTATACAAACATTTATTTGACATTATATTTATCTTGGTGCCAAAGAAAGAAGTCACTTTTCATTCTTTTTAGTAAAATAAATAGATTTAGAGTCAGTTTGAATTGTTCAAGAGTAGATTCAGGATTTGACTATATAATCTACAATGATGAAAATGTCAACATATTTTAGTGATGACTCAGGAGTGTGACAATAAACATTTTCTTTGAGAATGAGGGCCGGATATTTTCTACTATTCACATTTGGAGAAATATTTTTTTATAATAATATTTTCGATTGGTTTTAAAGATTTACAAACACAGTGGATACATTAGGATAAATAATAATAATAATAAATTAAATAAAAAATAAATAAACATAAAAACATATATTAAAAAAACAAATATATTAATCAAAATAAAAACAATGATTTTAACTGAAATAAATGTTTACAAACATTAACATTTGTTTTGATAATTGTTATACACAAGAACATTGTCAAGGTAATACACACACAATCAATATAAATTATAAATAATAAAACACACACTCACACACATCTTACAACAAATTGAAAATGATTAATAATATATTTAATAAAAAAACTAAAAAGTTACAAAAACAACATAAACAAAACATAAGTTGTGAAACGACATAGAACACAGACAATTGTATACAATAACTACAAACACTGATACACTAGGAAAGCCTCTAAATACATGGATTTACTTTTAAATATTTCTTAATAATATTTAGTTTTTTTATTCTAATAAAGAGATTTAATAAGTGAGTTTAATTCAATTTCAAAATGGGGATAGGATAAAATACCATTAGCAAACTTCTGCTTTATGAGTGAAGAATTTGCCATATAAAATAAAAAATGAACAATAGGCCTATACTCCAAGGGTCAATTTTTTATTATCATTATGGTAAAAAAAAGTATTTCTTTTAAGCTGAAAGAGTGTAGCTAGAAACGGTGCAACATTTGCCGAATCAAACATGTGAGAACCTAGGTCAGTCCAACATTGATTGGATATAGTGCAACCAAAAAACAGATGCTTTGTAAACAAATACAAATATTGACACATTTTACAGCTTTCGCAGTGGTACTATATCTTTATTAAAATGCGCATTTCAAGCGGAATACTGTGACGCCATAGTGTGGAACTCCTCACAGCGCGCGCTCGATCCAAACGGACTCTTTTGATTCGGTTCACGGAAGTCGCTCATCACTCTGTTTAGCGTTCACTAAACCGGATTAGGACATTGGGATATTGATGTGCTGTTGATTTCGACTGTCCTCCAGAATGCGGTTGGCGTGTTGGCTGGTGTTCGCGGGCTGTTGCTCTCTCACGGCGGGGATAGAGCCGATCAGCACCAGCATCGCAGTCGGGATGGCCGCCGCGCTCACCGGGTTTCTGGCCAGTTACCAGAACGTGCTCTATTACTTCCACGAGTGCTGCAGACCGGAGTGGATCTCATTCAACAAAACAGGTTTGAACGGGAGGTTTTGTCATATTTGTAGTAGGAGGCTATTGGACGCAATATGGATGTGCGTTTGATTCCAGTGTTGCAATGTTGATCATATGATAACCTATAAAGCCACATTTCCCTTATATTAAAATGAACTAAATCCACATTTATCTTTATTTACATTAATCAATTCCCTACATTTGAATACCAAACAAATATACAGCTAGGACATGTAGAATATTAACTTTAAACAGCCTCTTTCTTGTATTGATATTTTGCTACTTCCTGATAGTGTTTAAAATCAGCATAAAAATGCAATGCAACGGACACTTCTATCATATATAATCATGCATCATCTGGAAATATGTAATTATGTAGTCTACTATTATTATTATAGCACTAATTCTTGTATTGGTGCTGATGATGGAGATGTATATTGGTTCCCAATCAATTTGAATGCAATTCATATTAATGAATGACGATGTAAGTCACTTTGCATAAAAGATTGATCGTTTGCTGACTGATTAAATGTAAATGTAGTGATAATATATGATTCGCCCCGAAATCATAACTAATCTATGTAGACTGATTTTCACAGGTTTTTTTTATCTGCAAGTAGCCTGAGTTCATTTTATTTAACTTGACACTTCTGGAGTGTAATTCACCCAATCTTCGTCTGCATATATATAATTTTAATATGAGCATGTATATACAGGTTGGCAAGATTTTGGTGGCAAATTGACCAGTGACAATCAACATGCACTATTGAACTGAACGCTGCGCGCATGCGTCATTCGTCGCGCACAATCGTCGTCACTTTTCCTCAAGTAGGAAGTGCAGTCTGTGAGTGAGTTGGAGCCTTCGGTTTTGTTTTGTTTTGTTTCTCCGTTTCCCATTAAAAGCATCGATGTTTTATGTAGTAAAATGAAAGCTCGGCCATGGACATCTTTACTGCACTGCATCCTGGTCTCAGGGCTGATCGTGGAGGCCATAGAGCCCGTGTCCACATCACTGCTGGTGGGAACAGGAGCTGCTATGCTAGGCAGGACAATATATCGCTATTTATATGAAACGTGTGATGAGAACTGGGTCAACTTTAATGCAACAGGTGAAAATGTGATCACAATGTATACTATAGTTGGATTTGATCATCCACTGATCATGCATTTGTGCATTATGTCCCGTAAAAGCACCAAAAAGCCACTTAATGCTTCTTTCTACCGTTTCTATAATGGTTTACATTTATTATTTTTTAAATATAACAGCCAGATTGTGTTTATTTTTAAAATGATCATTGTAAAGAAAGAAACTTGTCTTATTGCAGGGTTTGTATAAGGTGCTTGAATTTGACTTTTTTTTTTTTTTTTTATTAAGTCCTGGAAAACCCATTTATATAGTGCTTGAATTATTGAAAGACAATAATGAAATTAGAGTTAAATTTTTTTTTCAATGAAACAACATTTTCATGCAAAATTAAATTAACACTGCAGCCTGTCTGATATAGATATAAAGACATTTCTCATGACTGTGAACATGATATTGTTATCATATAATAAACATCTAAGTAAATGATACAGCTTTCATTCTTCAGGTCCATCATATTCAATGGGGGAAAAAACAGTTTGAATAAGGAAAGCGATATCTTTGTCATAGTATCCTTTTAATGATTAATGTTGCCATAGTCATTGCATACTTTATTTTTGCCATTTTGTTTTATTAGTATATTTTTATCTGTTAACCTTTCTTAGAATTTGAAAGATAAAGATATTGTTTGATAAGTGAGATGTTACTAGTCCTAGGATTTCGTTTTACAGTGTCTGTACGAACCCATGATTTCTTTCAGAATCTGTTTGATTTGATCAGCCAACATTCATCAAACAATGAAACTTGTTTTGTTGTCTGATACATGCATTTATTTATTTGAAGTGCAGCTGTTCTGTATAAAGCATATGATTGCTGTAAATGTGTCCTCTCGTCCTCAGGACTGAAGTATGACCTCGACACCAAGCTGTACGGGCAGCACGTTGCAGCTCAGGTCATCCTGAAAGCCGTCACGGGCTTCATGAAGAACGAAAACCCGAAGAAACCTCTGGTTCTGTCGCTCCACGGCTGGACCGGGACTGGGAAGAACTTCGTGAGCCAGCTGATAGCCGAAAATATATACGAGAAAGGGATGTCGAGCAGTTTTGTTCATCTGTTTACAGCAACGGCACACTTTCCTCACGAGATGCACATCAACACATACAAGGTAATGTGTTTTTTTAATATATGTAAATACATGGAAATGACTATGTATTTCACTGCAACAACAAAATGCAACCAGTCAAATGTTTTAAAGTCACATCTGTACAAAATGTATGTTTGCAATTATTTAGACCCAGTTACAGGAGTGGGTAAAGGGGAACGTATCCATCTGCCCACGGTCCATGTTCATCTTTGATGAAATGGATAAAATGCATCCCGGGCTGATCGACAGTATAAAGCCTTACCTGGACTTCTACGACAATCTGAACGGAGTATCGTACAGACAGGCCATCTTCATTTTCCTCAGGTCGGTGTTATTGTGTACTTATGTGTAAACAGAAAATTTAAATCTGTAAATAATGTAATTAATGCAATTGGTCACTAGTTGCCATTTTTTAGTGTGCTTGATGGGCAGTACAGACTAGAGTCCTGCGCGGGACTGTTTTCTTCATCCCGCTCCCGCCCGCGCCCGCGGAATTTCTGACCATTACCGCCCGCTCCCGCAACGTATGTGTTACACTCCCGCCCGCTCCCGCAATATGTATGTCCACTCCCGCCCGCACCCGCAAAACTTGGAGAATTTATTCCCGCACAATAATAGAGATGCATTGACTTTGTGTCTTCTCCCGTCCCGCAGGAAAAAAAAGCGCGTATTTGTATTGCTATTATTAAAGAGATTCATGGGGTTGTTGGTTTCGTTTCCCTTGCCTGCATGTATTCTGACGCACTGATCAGGAAGATGAATAGTAAATGTCAGACTTGCCTTGCTCAGGTTTTGTGCTGTAAATACCTCGTTTAAGGTTCTTTTCCACATCATTGACATCTCCATCATGTCGTTAGGCTACCTCCCGATCCCGCAGGGTTTTTTTTTGTCCGCCCATTCCCGCCCGCAACAAAGTTCAAACCGCCCGCTCCCGCGAGATTTGCGTTGGGTCCCGCGGGACCCGGCGGGACTCAATCCCAATGCAGCCCTCTAGTACAGACCAAACATATTTTTCAATTTTTATATATATATATATGCATTTATTTGATCAAAAATACAGTAAAATATTCGCAATATTGTGAAATATTATCACAGTTTAAAAGATCTGTTCTCTATCAATTTTAAGCAAAAAAACTGTATTCAACATTGATAATAATAACCATTATGAATAATTGAGCACCAATAATAATTGAGCAAATCCGCATATTAGAGTGATTTCTGAAGGATCATGTGACACTGAAGACTGGTGTAATAATGCAGAAAATTCAGCTTTGATCACAAATAAATTAAATTTTACAATATATTCAAATAGAATTTTCGAAATGGAACTTTATAAAAAAAATTGTAGTATATATTTTTGATCGAATAAAAGCAACCTTGGTGAGCAGAAGAGACTTTGAAAAACCTTTTTTTTTTTTTAATTATTCCAAACTTTTGCCCGCTATGTATTTGCTCTGAAATGGCATAAAACGCCTTTTTATTTATCAGAGGACCCTTTTACACCCAGTTGTTTTTGTCTTTATAGTAACGCCGGCGGTGAGAATATCGTTCAGGTGGCTCTGGATTTCTGGAGGGACGGGAGAGAGCGAGAGGAGATGCAGCTGAAGGATCTGGAGACGGCACTGACACTGTCCGTCTTCAACAACAGAAACAGTACGTCACATGCCTCGTATCTTTCTCACATCTGCTAAAACATGGAGCCAAAAATTCTCTTGACAATCGGATCGTTATGCATTAAACTGAGTGCATTTTTAGTAATTGTGTTTATTATTTTCACTGTAATTTGTTGATGATTTCCAATATAATGAAGATCTCACAACAAATGTATTGTCTTTTTTTTTTATTTAATTGCCCCATTATATTTTTTGTTACCTTTCATGCAGTGTGAAATGTAGCTGTTTGTGAATGAAAAAGGAGTGTAAAAGGAATGTAAAAGTTTTAAAGTGCACAACAAATTAAGTTATTTTTTAAATATTAACCGTCTCCTAAAAACAAGAATCGATTCTGAACTGCTGAAATGAGTCGTCAGTAATTCCAGTCTCACTTCCTGTTGCATACCTACGTTACGTAACAATGTAACAAATTAGCATAATGCCAGCTTATGGTCTTTATTGGCTTCTTGTGAACAACGTCTACTTTGACCCTTAAACACTGTAGTTGTAGCCGAGACTGGAAGAGTTTGGTTCGTGTTTGTTTGTGGTGTCGAGAAGATGCTGTTTTCAGTGCTGCGAATCCACTTTGATGCACTTCAAAAGTGTGAGGACTCCGCTGGAATTGATACAGTAAAACTGACGCCATTGTTACTGTTTGTATCACTCTGTGTATCAAGTGCTGAGGAAGATCTGGAACTGAAATTGAGAATGTTAATGAGCGTTTCGTTTCCGACATGCGCTGTACCAAGCGGTCGACCAATCACAACAGACTGGGCCATCTGTCCAATCAGAGCAGAGTAGACCAATCACAACAGACTGAGCCATCTGACCAATCAGAGCAGAGTAGACCAATCACAACAGACTGAGCCATTTGACCAATCAGAGAAGAGTAGACCAATCACACAGACTGGGCCATCTGACCAATCAGAGCAGAGTAGACCAATCACAAAAGACTGAGCCATCTGACCAATCAGAGAAGAGTAGACCAATCACAACAGACTGGGCAAAATCAGGAAAGTTTAAAATAGGATAATAGAGGCACTGTAAACATTTACACGCTTGTTTTGTTTTTCTTCTCTCCATCCACAGGTGGTTTCTGGCACACTAGTTTAATCGATAAGAACCTGGTGGATTTCTTTGTGCCGTTCCTCCCTCTGGAGTACAAGCACATCGTTCAATGCGGTTTGTCCGAGATGGTCTCCAAGGGTCACGTCCCGGATAGAGAAGTGGTTGAGATGATGGCCCACGACCTGAACTACTTCCCTAAAGAGGAGCGCGTCTTCTCCATGCAGGGCTGCAAGGTCATCCCCAGCAGGCTGGACTTCTATGTTTGAGCGAGAGGGAACAAAGAAAGACTCAAAAACAGCAAACTGGTTATCGTCTGTGTGCTTTTTTCACAGAAATCCCTTCTGTTATTCTGCAATAGAAAGAACTGGAGCGGAATTGCTCCCCAGACATTACAGCTTTACATGATGCCATGCTCTCGAAAGACTCTAAAGTGAGATGTTTTTTATTCAATCACTAGTGTTTTATACACTAATGGACTGTTTTATTGACGCCGCATCAGCTGCTTAAGTCCTTCTTTTCAAGGGTGTTTCTGTTGAAGATAACGTAGCGGAGGAAGCTTTTTTTTAAAGACTTTGCACATTGGAGCTCCAAAAAACACTGGCTATTGGTGATTTTATATGTTGATCTGTATTAATTGTTATCATGAGAGAGAGAAAAAAGTATTTGCCTTTATCTTGAAATATATCACATTTATTACTGCCTTTTTAAAAGAAAAACGATGTGTTGAGCTGTTTTGGATAAAGAAGATCATTAGCTAGAAGACAATTGTAGCTTAACCTGGATCTCATTGAAACATGATCATTTGTTTATCCAATTCATCACTGTCAGGATTCAGATTTGTGTTGTCGATTTTAAGTTGCAGTTTCACAAATACTCTAGTGCCACTGGTTCTGATTGAAGGTTTTGTTGAGTAAATCACAGTGCCTGTATGTCTTAAAATATATTATAGGCACTTGTCATTATTTGATGATCTGGTTTGAACATAATTTCACATTTTTGAAACGTTTATGAAAATAATTTTTGAGATGCACCTAGCCCTAGATAAAATGAAAAAAAGAAATACTTGAAGGATTCTACATATTGATTTTGATAAAGCTTTATGACCAAAACAGACTCGATTGGTCTTGAGAATTTTATTTTTGTACACTTTGGCAAGTTAATTTATATTACTTTTTTATTGAGATTTCCAGTGGTCCATGATAACTGAATACGTTTCACAGTCACAGACATTGCTGGAAACAATTAAGTTTTCACTTCAAATTCTAGCCAATGTAATACTTTAAAGCAGATTGAAAAAATATTCCATAGCTAAAAATCACAATTTCAAAATTCCTTAGTATTTGTCCAATTGACAGGGTTTCCACAATCTGATGTGTAATTTTGTTGGTTTTCTAGTAATTCTGAGAGCCACATTATGTAACTCTACCTATAATCACCAAGCTTGTCAGTGAAAGGTCCTAAGTCCAATAGGAACATTTTTCTTGCAGACTTGTTTAGAGTATCTCCACCAAAACTCTACACAGTTCTTCTGGCTGATCATATTATGATATTTTTCTATGAAATTTGAGGTTTTATGGTTTTCCCAGAATAGTCAATTAAAAATCCTAAAATATCCCTGAGATTTAAATTGACGGAATGTTCGTGAATTCAAATTTTAACTGTCAAAACTCACACACACGCTCGCATGGACACATTTCTTTCTCTTAAATGCCACACTAAAATGAGTCTGTAAATTATTAATTTGCTGCGTAATGTTTATGGCATCGGAATGATCTAAATGGCAGGTGAGAAGTGCCCCAGGATACCATGTAAATACAGGTGTAATACTGTCTGATAATGTCACAATATCATGGTACGTACCACCATAATAAAATAGAACAAAATTAAATATCTGCTCTCTTAAAGGGATAGTTCACCCAAAAATGAAATACTGTTATCAATTACTCACCCTCATGTCACTCCAAACCCGTAAGACTTTCATTCATCTTCGGAACACATAAGATCTTTTTGATGAAATATGAGAGATTTCTATCCCGCCGCCATCGACAGCTACGCAACTACCGTTTTGATACTTCAAAAAGTTCATAAAGAGGTTGTAAAACTAATCCATATGAATTGGGCGGTTTGGTCCAATTTTTTTTGAAGAGTTTATATGATGAAAAGATTGAATTCAGGCTTTTATTCACATAGAAACATTCATGAACTCACACATCAGCTGTGGTAAACAGAAGCTCAAGCTTACGCAACACGTTTGAGCTTCAGCAAGAACCAATGAGGTTCATTCTCGTGTTGAGCTTCTGTTTATGTTCGCTGATCAATGTTTATATGTGAATAAAAGCCTAAATTAAATCTGTTCATCATATAAAGCGATCGAGTCTCTTCAGAAGATTTGGACTAAACTGCTCAATTCATATAGATTCGTTTTATGATCTCTTTATGAACTTTTAGAAGCGTCAAAGTGGCGAATGTCGATGGCGGAAAGCTTTCAGATTTCACCAAAAAGATCTTCATTTGTGTTTCCGAAGATGAATGAATTTAGGTCTTCGGGTGAACTATCCCCTTAACGCAGAATGCAGAAACATTCATGAAAAAATAATAAATGCAAAGAGAAACAGCTGAAAATTTTATTTGAAAATAAACAGCACTTTATTTCTGATCCACATGTTTTTGTGAGCATTGGGTCCAGATGAGAAGACGAAACTCCATCAACTGTCTGCATATCATCCGGTCTTGTGATTTCAACACTTCCAGTACACTGACAATAACAACATTATCCCACGCAAGAGCCGTTCCCGGCTGTACTCGAGAGGCACAGTTCCATATTAAACGCTTTGGGTTTCCATTATACGAGCAACACGGCATTAATGCAGCCATCGTTTTCTGGGTTATTCGTCACCTGGGCATATTTACCTGAAACACATCATCACATTACATTTTTCACTCTGAAACACACGTTTAAGTATTGCATAGACGAAAAAATGAAGAGCCAATTAGACTACTCACCCCAGATGACCTTCCCGCCCTGCGTGACCAATCCCAGCTCACTGACGTTGACCTCAATGACCGTTCCCTTGGTGATGACGCCCAGCGTGGTGTACAGCGTGGAGGAAGGGTTCTTCTTCACCCCCAGGATGGGCAAACAGAACGTGGCCTTCAGCTCAGGATGAGTGACGTGTGCCTTCTTAAACCTCAGACCCTGTACACATTTACAATGACAACTCCCTTAATATACATATATGTGTGTGTGTGTGTGTGTGTCTTCTTAAACCTCAGACCCTGTACACATTTACAATGACAACTCCCTTAATATACATATATGTGTGTGTGTGTGTCTTCTTAAACCTCAGACCCTGTAGACATTTACAATCACAACTCCCTTAATATACATAGATATATGTGTGTGTGTGTGTGTGTGTGTGTGTGTGTCTTCTTAAACCTCAGACCCTGTAGACATTTACAATCACAACTCCCTTAATATACATATATATGTGTGTGTGTGTGTGTGTGTGTGTGTCTTATTAAACCTCAGACCCTGTAGACATTTACAATCACAACTCCCTTAATATACATAGATATATGTGTGTGTGTGTGTGTCTTCTTAAACCTCAGACCCTGTAGACATTTACAATCACAACTCCCTTAATATACATAGATATATGTGTGTGTGTGTCGTCTTAAACCTCAGACCCTGTAGACATTTACAATCACAACTCCCTTAATATACATAGATATATGTGTGTGTGTGTGTGTGTGTGTCTTCTTAAACCTCAGACCCTGTAGACATTTACAATCACAACTCCCTTAATATACATAGATATATGTGTGTGTGTGTGTGTGTGTCTTCTTAAACCTCAGACCCTGTACACATTTACAATGACAACTCCCTTAATATACATATATGTGTGTGTGTGTGTGTGTCTTCTTAAACCTCAGACCCTGTAGACATTTACAATCACAACTCCCTTAATATACATAGATATATGTGTGTGTGTGTGTGTGTGTGTGTGTCTTAAACCTCAGACCCTGTAGACATTTACAATCACAACTCCCTTAATATACATAGATATATGTGTGTGTGTGTGTGTGTGTCGTCTTAAACCTCAGACCCTGTAGACATTTACAATCACAACTCCCTTAATATACATAGATATATGTGTGTGTGTGTGTGTGTGTGTGTCTTCTTAAACCTCAGACCCTGTAGACATTTACAATCACAACTCCCTTAATATACATAGATATATGTGTGTGTGTGTGTGTGTGTGTCATCTTAAACCTCAGACCCTGTAGACATTTACAATCACAACTCCCTTAATATACATAGATATATGTGTGTGTGTGTGTCGTCTTAAACCTCAGACCCTGTAGACATTTACAATCACAACTCCCTTAATATACATAGATATATGTGTGTGTGTGTGTGTGTGTGTGTGTCTTCTTAAACCTCAGACCCTGTAGACATTTACGATCACAACTCCCTTAATATACATAGATATATGTGTGTGTGTGTGTGTGTGTGTGTCTGAATGTATGTGTATATTATGTATGTATGCTAAGTTGTTTATAAATGTTAACTTAAAGGGTTAGTTCACCCAAAAATGAAAATTATGTCATTAATGACTCGCCTTCATGTCGTCCCAAGCCCGTAAGACCTCCGTTCATCTTCAGGACACAGTTTAAGATATTTTAGATTTAGTCCGAGAGCTTTCTGTCCCTCCATTGTAAATGTGTGTACGGTATACTGTCCTTGTCCAGAAAGGAAATAAAGACATCATCAAAGTAGTCCATGTGACATCAGTGGGTTAGTTAGAATGTGTTGAAGCATCGAAAATACATTTTGGTCCAAAAATAACAAAACCTACGACTTTATTCAGCATTGTATTGTGTTCCGGTTCTGTTGTGGATCCGCGTTCAGTGCCGCTGCTGACGTGTGTCTGGTGTGTGTGTGTGTGTGTGTGTGTATTCTGGTTCTGTTGTGGATCCGCGTTCAGTGACGCTGCTGACGTAAGACGCTGCTGACGTGTGTCTGGTGTGTGTGTGTGTGTGTGTGTGTATTCTGGTTCTGTTGTGGATCCGCGTTCAGTGCCGCTGCTGACGTAAGACGCTGCTGACGTGTGTCTGGTGCGCCCGTGTATTCGGGTTTAAATAAATATGGCTGGGCAAAAAAATGCAAGTCTTCCTCTGTGTGGAAATCCTTAGACATGTTTGTGAAGATTGTTTTGTTTCCAGCGTGCGTCTCCCTCAGACTGTAAACGAAGCTCGGGCGCACCAGACACACACACACACACACACACACACCAGACACACGTCAGCAGCGTCTTACGTCAGCAGCGGCACTGAACGCGGATCCACAACAGAACCAGAATACACACACACACACACACACACACACACACACACACACACACACACA